GAGGCCCAGCTCCGCCTGGCGCGTCCGGTGGTCCAGCAGGTAGAAGGTGGACATGGAGGAGATGCGGCGCAGCGGCGGGCGCCGTGGCGAGAAGCGCCGCGAGAAGTGGTCGGCCCAGAACTGCCGCAGCTGTTCCCACAGGCGGCTGGCGTGGCCCGAGGCCAGACACCGGAAAGCCTCCAGGGCGAGGGCTGGGTCGGCCTCGTCGGGCTCGTGGATGCCTGGAGCAGAGCCGTGAGGAGGCGGGCCACCCGGGCTGCGCCCTTGCCTCGGGAGCCCGGCTGTCCGGGATGATGAAGGCGAGCCAGGGGCACTGCTGGGGAGCAAGAGTCCGGGTGAGCATCCTGCTGGGACAGGCTGCCCTCTCAAACCGCGAGGCCCGGTGGGCAGGGCTCAGGACTGCGCGCACGAGGCTAACCAGTTGCTGGCCTCCGAGGAGCCAGTCCCTGCACACTCGAATTAACAGGAGTCTCCCCTAAACCACCTCCCCCAAAGATCACTCTGTGTCAGGCCTTGGGGATAGATGTACAGGTGAAGGACCAGAACCCTGCTCTGAGTGCTGGGTGACTGCCGGAAGGAGTTAGGGGCCAGGGAGAAGGGAATGATAGCAGAGACAAGTAGGTACTTTAAAAACGCACAGGAATTTGACAGGTAGATTGAGGGTGGGATAAGGGAGAGCCTCTAGGCAGAGTGAAGAGCTAGGCAAGCATCGCACGTGAAGAAGAGCTTGGGGTGGGGTTAGTATAAGGTATCCAGCTGGGAATAGCAGAAGAGGAAGCTGGAAAGGGGGACGAGGGCACTATGAGGGCCCCGTATAGGCAGGCTTAAAAGTTTAGCCCTCCTTCTGTGGGTAACAGGGCGCTACTCAAGGACTGCAAAGACAGGCTAGATTTGCATTCTGAAAGTGTATCTGGTGGGATGTCTGGACTATCCAGCAGCATTACTGCCCTCCTCATGAACTTATTTTACAACCTTGAACTGTCACCTGTTCTGTGCCAGGCCCTCGTCTGGGCAGAGGGTCTCAGCACAGCCTGTGCCTACCCTCGGGATGCTCCTGCTACAGCTGGGAAGCCAGATATGTGTGTGTAGATCAGCCTAGGGGCCTGTTGCATAGGCTAGGACCTGTGCTTATGGCTTGTGCTGACGGGTGGTGCAGACTAGACACGGCTTTTGTCCCAGGTGGACTGCATGCTTAAAGAAACTAAAGTCCAAATAACAGATATGTCCCATTCTCTTTCTCCCCCCACTCCTGTAAGTGACTGGTGAGAAAGAGGATTGTACGCTTGCTTTCAAATTCCTCTTCTCATGGAGAGTAAAAATGGAAAGAACCCTGGGGCAGAGTCCCCTCTGTCATGCCTCCGTTAATTCAACACACACTTATTCCTCACACATAGCTGGGCAGTTCTGCCCCTAGATCTGGCTCAGGGATATGTCTCTGGAAGACCACACAGAGTCCAAGAGGTGCAACTAAGCCCACCCCTGAGGTTGCATGTTTCCACAGGCCCCTTCCCCGATAATCCTCACATATTGTGCCTCACCTGGAGGATGTATTGGAGATGCCAAGCTGCTGTCCCAGGCCTGGCCCCATCTCTGAACCACTCAGTTGCTGTTTACCAGCTATGACTCACAATGCCTCTAGGCCAGGTCAGCTAAGCTATAAAACAGACCTCTGGGCTCTCCCCGGTATTCATTCAGCATACTTACTGAGAACCTACTGAGTTCTAGGCTCTGTTCTAGGGAGGTGGCGAAGACAGTCCCTCATCAAGCTACCGTTTTTGGCGGGAGAAGGTCATAAACAGAGCCTGAGACAGGAATTTGTTCTAGGAGAGTGAACAGAATAGTCCCTCATGAAGCTAACTGGGGTGTCATGGGTCAGGAAACCACAAGCACAGGCTGAGATGAGAATTTTTGTAGGAGGGGTTTACTGGGGAAGTGTTTTGGGAGAAGAGAGTCAGCGAAGCAGGACAAGGCAGGGAAAAAAGCTAAAGCTAAACAAGAATGTGGCCTGGAGCTGGAGACCAGCCCCCGCAGGAGCTCACAGGGAGCTGCAGAAATCGCACCACAGAGCCCTCTCTTCTTACCGCAAGGGAGCCATTCTTTTGCGCCCTTCCCTTCCCCCACCCACCCCTCACTTCAGTCATTGGCAGGGGCAGCTATGAGTTGTCAGCCAACACTTAAGGCGCCTGTGGGGTGAGTGCACCCCCGGTAAAAGGGAATCCGTGGAGTGCCAACAGCATAGAGGAGGGAGGACGAGAACAGATAACAAAAATGAAAGGAAATAGCTAATAAGAATTTCTGATTGTGATACATGTAATGAAGGAAATAGAGAAATATAAAAAGTGACTTCAGGACAAGGTGAAGGCTAGGATCCAATTTAGGCCTGGTGCTCGGGGAAAGCACTTGGTGTTCATACTAGGACCTGAATGATAAGGAGACCCTGGCTACCTGCTAGAGGCAAGAAGATAGGGGCTTGTCTGAAGGACAAGTGCCATGGGTTGAGGCCGTGGAAGGAGATGAAGACAGCCCTACCTGCCAGCCACACCCAGACAATTGCCATCACCTCTACTTGCCTTTCCTGACACCAAAGGCTTCTTGCAGGGCCTTCCAGTTAATCCAGCCTCCTGATGGCTCTAGAAGGGGTTAGGAAAGCCACCTGGTAGTGCCACCTCCTGGGAAACTTTTTTCTTTAACAGCTTTATAGAGGCATAATTGACACACTAAACTACACATATTTACAGTGTATAATTTTGACATGTTTTGATCATTTGATGGAAGAAATCATTACCAAAGTCACAATAATGAAGCTATCCATTACCTTCAGAAGGTTCCTCTGCTCCCATCACTGGATGCATTTTCTAGAACCTTATACAGATTTCGTAAACATTTTTTACACTGGCTTCTTACAGCATAGTTATTTTAAGTTGAAATTCATTCGTGTTGTTGCATTTATCTACAATTCGGTCCTTTTTTGGTGGGTAGTACTCCATATTGTATGGGAATACCACAATTTGTTTTTCCATCCACCTGTTGATGGAAATGTGGGTTGTTTCCGTTTGGGGGGCTGTCACACATCCAGCTGCTGTGAACATCTGCGTACAAGTCTTTGTGTGGCCACACGCTTTAGTTTCTCTTGAATAAATACCCAGGAGTGGAATGACTGGGTCATATGGTAGGTGTGTGTTTACCTTTTTATGAAGCTACTAAGCTTTTTCCAAAATGGTCGTACAGCATCCCCACCAGCAGTGAAGTTTCTGTTCCGGTTCCTCCACAAACTTGCCAACACGTAGTATCGTAAACCTTTTTACTTCTAGTCATTCTAGTGAGTGTGTCTAAATTGCAGTTTGATTCTGTTCCTCTAATGGCTAATGACGAGTGTCTTCTCACGCGCTTGTTACCCTCATTGTTGGGTTGTTCAGGTCTTTTGCCGCCCCTTCCCCACCTTTTTTTTTACTGGATTGTTTGTCTTGTTGAATAGAAGGAGTTCTTTACCACTAGATAAAAGTCCTTTATCAGATATGTTTTGCAAATATTTTTTCCCCAGTCTGTGGCTTGCCTATTAAAGCAAAAGTGTTTCATTTTAATAGCCAGTTTATCATTTTTTAGCTTTGAGGCTCATGCTTTTCATGTATATTTAAGAATGCAGGGGGAGGGTGTAGCTCAAGTGGTAGAGCACATACTTAGCATGCATGAGGTCCTGGGTTCAATCCCTAGTACCTCCTCTAAGAATAAATAAACCTAATTACCTCCCCCCACCAAAAAAAAAAGAATGCTTTGCCAAACTAGAAGTTTCACAGCTTTAACCTTACATTTTGAGTTAGTTTTGTTGATAGCTCTTTCTCATGTAGATGTCAAGTTGACACAGCACCATTTATAGAAGACGTGCCTTTCCCTGCTATTTGCTGTTGTGTCTTTGTTGCTCATCATGTGACTGCATATGTGACTATTTCTGGGCTATCTATTCTCTTCCATTGGTCTTTTTATTCTCGAACCAATACCGTATTTTTAAAATTATTGTGGCTTACAGTGAGTCTTCATCTGGTAGTGTAAACCTTCCAACAATATTCTTTTGATGTTGTTTTGGTTTTCTAGGTCCTTGGAATTTTCATGTTTCAATTCCATGTAATTGAATTTCTAACCTAATTTTAGAATTAGAATGTCAGTTTCCACAAATAAACCCTTATGCTCACTGTTCAAAACTCTCTTCTTATCATGAGGCTAAGCTTGAGTCAGCCCTCAGAAGGTTGTGAAACATAACCCAGCCAAGCACTCATTCACCCTGTCTCCCTCAGTCTCTTCCCCCTACCCCTAAATTGTGTCTCTGTTATTAAAGCTAATCATCAGTCACAACCATGACATCTCTGGAAAGTCCTGGGTGATTGTCAGGAATGATATTCAACAAGTTTCAATTTCCCTTATTTCCACAGATGACAAAAAAGGAAAAGCTACAAAACCCAAGGAAGTCTTTTTTTTTTAATTGAAGTATAGTTGATTTACAATGCTGTTAATCTGGGGTACAGCATTTTTGATTTAGTTATGGATACACGTATTCTTTTTCATATTCTTTATCATCATAGGTTATTACAAGATATTGACAACAGTTCCCCGTGCCCAGGGAAGTCTTTATTTGATGATTGGAACAGGAAAAGTTTAGAGGAGGAACAGTTCCCACTTAACATGTTAACTCCTTTCATAAGCAGTTCTTGATTTTGAGAAAATTTAATGAAAACTGTAGAATTTAAAGATTCACAATTAAAAAAAAAATGGTTTCTGGCTCCTTTGAGGGACTCCTTCTCAAAGTCATTGTAAAGACCAGATTTGGAGCTTGTGCGGAGAGGCCTGCAGGTCCCAACAAGTCTGAGTTTAAGGACATAAAGTTCATTCTGATGGCACAGAGGAAAGGAGAGGAGGACCTCAAAAAGAATTTTCATCTCCTCACGCCCCAGACAGATGTCACGGTGGCTGTGAATGTCAGTGGAGCCCTCCTCTTGGCAACCATGAGGAATACTGCCAAAACCACGGAAGCAAAATCTTTTTTACGCTCATGACCATTTCAGTCTAGTCTCTAAAATATTCTGTCAGTGGTATTTCCCTTCCCTGAAACAATGAGGCATTCTCTGAACTAATATAGCTCTTTTTCAAAAAGAGCCAAAATTCTGCGTATGTATAAAACCTGATAAAAACAGTAATTCAAATGGTACAGAACACAGGAAGAACACAGGGATAAAAAATCACATGAAGTCACTGTCTTGCCTTCCGAGACAGTCCAAGCTCCATCTATGGAGTGTGTATCTACCTTTACTTTAACCTTTACTGTAACCACCACCACCCCTACCTCCATGTACATCTCTCTAAATAAATCTGCTTTTATATATATGCTGCATCTTCTGTATCCATTCATCTATTGATGTGCACCTGGGATGCTTCCGTATCTTGGCCACTGTAAATAATGTTGCTGTTAATAGTGGGGGAGGGGGAAGTATGTATCTTTTTGAATTAATTCTTATTTTGTGGTTGGCTTTATTCTTTTGATAACTCTGTAAGTTTAAAAAGCTAAAGTTCTAAACATTCTTAGAAACAATGAACAGTACAAATATGTACATCTTTTAATGTGCAATATATTGTGTATATGTATTTATATGCAATACATTGTATGTGTGCAGTTAAATTGTAACAATTCTACCTAGTAAAACTGAAAAATGAAAAAAAACTTTACTTTTTCATGAAAAAAATCCACTTTTACTGAAAAAAAAAAAGAAAATGCACACACTTCATCCAGCACGCCCATTTTCTTTGTTTTTAATTTAATTAATTTGGGGGGCAGGGAGAGGTAATTAGATTTTATTATTTATTTTTAGAGGAGGTACTGGGGATTGAACCCAGGACCGCCTGCATGCTGAGCATGTGCTCTACCACGAGCTATACCCTCCCCCTTGGCACATCCATTTTCTGTAGGGCACTTTTTTTGGAGAATCAACTTTAGCAGGAAGGGTTGCCCATCCCCTGGGTCAGCCTTCCCTTGGACTTCTTCTTTAGCTTCTCCTTCAGGCTTCATCCTGGGCTTGGTGGCAACCGCAGTCGGGTGTGATGTAGCAGAAGAGGTGACTGTAGTAACGATCTAGAGGTTGCTATCCCTCTCTCTCTTCCCCAAGCTGCTCCCAAGCCATTGTGCCTTAAAAGTAGTTACATGAATACAGACTTGTGGTTACCAGTGGGGAGGGTGGGAAGGGATAAACTGGGAGTTTGAGATTTGCAGATACTGCCTGGTACACACAAAATAGATAAATAAGTTTATACTGTATAGCACAGGGAACTATATTCAATATTTTGTAGTA